GTGAGCTGACGAGCAGGATGCGAGGCGACCGAAAAGCAGCTAAGAACAAGCACGTCGCAGGTTCCACATCGGGCGAGCATTGCCCGACGCAGCAGGGCGATCATCATGAGCGGCACGCACAGTTCGGGTGACGCCTACCCGCCTTCCGGGGAAGCCCGCCCGCTCGCGCCACCACCTCGTGCGCGCCGCTCCGCGTGGGGCGGCCTTCACCCGCAGGCGCGGGGCAGGTGCTATGGTAGAGGGAAGCAATTACTGAACACCTCCCAATCCCACCAAACTCAAAGTTGGCACGCGCGGGGGATGCTGCGGCCGAGGCGCAACCCATCAGACCCACCATCAACTTTGAACACTGGGGGGGGGGGAGTGGGCGGCGTTGGCAGAAGAATGTGGCACGAGTGTTAGCTAGTTCTTGCCGAAGCCCGTATGGTGCCCGTGTGCAGACGAACGCGCCCGAAGGCCCCACCATGCTTTCAGCGTGCTCAACTGTTTTTGTTGACGGGCGGGCAACAGGCGCAGCGCGCAACCGCGGGCGCCTGCCAAGGCGCTGGTCAATCCGGGGCCTTCGGGAGCTGCGCGCTGCGCTGCGCAGCGAGACGTGCAAAATCTGCCGCGCTGCTCCCAGCGAAGCGAAATTCGCCGAGAAGGAGCAGCGCCTGCCCGCGCCTGCAGCCGCTCCTTCCACCCCGGGCTCGCCATCCATAACTCGAGCTAACTGCCCGTGGCCATGCATAATCATCATCAGAAAAACGCTGGCAGGATGGGGTCAGCACCGCATGTAGGGAAGTCGGAAATCGGAGCGGAAGGTACGTCGACTCGGGCTACATCGGCATGGAGTCGGAACCAGATCACGGCGGCCGCGCCAAAAATGCACAACATCACCATGCGATTAGGTCGGGCATGCCCTCCCACAGGTGGATTCTGAAGTCAAATCATTCAAACATAATCCAAACTAAAAGATTCCCCCAAAAATAGTCGAACAATCGTCCCCAGACTATTTTATACTATGCTTGAATACTCCTCCTGTAGAGAAACATGCCCGACTCAACACCATGCGAGCATCGGGCCGCATCGGATCGGGCCAGTCGGAGAGAACGAAGCGGGTCGGTGGTGCCAAAATGCGGGCCCCGTGCTGGGTGGGCCACCACGGCCAAGCCCACGTAGAAGCCGACGACGCCGTACCTGACAAAGGACCAGTTCGAGATGAGGCTGTCGTCCTGTGCCCGGCTCGGAGCGGAGCAGAGTCGATCACACATGAGAAAAAGCCCCCAATCAGTGGATCTATGGTGATGTCGGTAGTGGAAATCGAGAGTAAGATCGATGGTGACATCGATGGTGAGATCGACTGAGCGAGACGGATTGTCAGATCGATCATGAGATCGATGGTGAGCTCGACCGTGGGATCCCGAAATCGGCCCCAAACCAGCAACAGGGAACCCGAGAATCCAGGAACCCAGCCGACTACCGAAATCAACCCAAGAGCTTCGCCCAATCTTTCAATATCCGCCAGGACCACTTCAGTGCAAGCTCTGCTTGGGGAACATCTTTGACCTGGGCAGCAGCAGCTCGGAACAGACACGCGTGCCATTGGAAGGCCTGCCCAGGAGCGCACGACCTGCACAATACGCACTCCTCACGATCAGCAGTTCGCGCTGCCGCGGCAGGTGCTGCTGTGATCATGCAGTTCAATCCGTCGCGATCCTTTTGACAAGAATTGCGCAGGAGGCGACGCTGGACAATTGTGATCAAGTCTGAAGCAGCGCACACAAGCTGAGCGCCTGTCTCAAAACGGCCCTCAACGGCCCCCGCTGGCTCCCAGTGCGGAGCCTCAGCCTCGAGCGTCGGTTCGGATGAACCCGCGAACGTCTGCCTAATCACTTACCCACCCTCCTGCTCTCCTCCCCAGACCTGCGACGTCCTGATTTCTTCAAAACGGCGCCCCTGGAAGTTCCGACCCTTTCCCCGGGACAGGTTCTTCGTCCCCGAGTCGTTTTTGGACGGTCCCGAGGCGAGGGCCCCCCGGGGCCGAAAATAGCCACAAACCTCCCGCCCTGCCTCTTTTACGGCGCGATCCTGTCTGGGTCCCCTGCCGCCTCCTCCTCCTCCTCCTCCTCCTCCTCCTCCTCCTCCCCCTCCCTCCTCCTCCTCCTCCTCCTCCTCCTCCTCCTCCTCCTCCTCCTCCTCCTCCTCCTCCTCCTCCTCCCCAGGGTTCTGCGAAGCAGCGCCGCTGCGCCTCTCCGCTGCGCACCGGCCGCCGAGAGGCAGGCTGCCGCATCCCTGCTCGGCCCTGCCCTGGGTGTATATATATATATATATATATATAAATGTCTATATATAAGCTGCGGGGGAGCCCCCCGCGAGCCGGAGGGAACTCTGCAGGCGACGGGGCCGCGGTGGACGCAAGCCCAGACAGGTTCGCGTCGTGGCAAACTCAGGACGGGAGATTTTTGCCCATTCCCCAGGGGGGACCTCGCCGGGCCTCGGGACCCTCCAAACACGACTCTGGACGAAGAACGGGTCCCAGGGAAAGGGTCGGGACTTCTAGGGGCGCCGTCCTGAAAAAGTCAGGACGTCGCATGTCTGGGAAGGAACCACAAACTTGCAGAAACAGAGCGTGAACCTCTGGAGATCCGCCCCTGGCTCGGGACGGACGATGCGGATGGACCAGGGGTGGGCGGTACACGTATTCGCCCGGGAGCCTCGTCGAAGACATGACCGGTCGGAGGCTCTGCATACACGTACCCAGACCTCCGACGTCGGAGTTTTGTTCACAACGTCGACCCCCAGAGGTCTGGACCACATCCCAGGGACCGGTGTTTCGTCCCAAACCGTTTTTGGGGCGGTCCCGAGGCCCTGTAAGGGCCCCCTGGAGGCCCCAGTGCCGATCCGAGGAATCCGCGCGGACCTCCGAGTTATTGTGTTTATGCCACTGTCTGTTCTCTTCGAAACACCTCCCGTCGTGATTCTGTTGTCACCGCGCGAGTAAAACAAGGCTAGGATCGGGATAAATCGCTCCAGAGCGCGTTCCGGAGCGCTCTCAGAGCGTTCCGGAACGCTCTGGAGCGGCCGCGGCGCCCAATACATCCTCCAAACCCGCCGATTCTCAGAGATTTCGAGTTATCCCGATCCGATTTTGTCCCGATCTTCGCGTCGTTTTAGCGAGGGGTCTGGGTGTATTGCCCTCACCTGGGCTCTTCGCCCCTGGCCTCGCCCCCGACCGGCGCGCGCCTCGCGCTCCCGTGGAGGGGGGGGAGGAGGAGGAGGAGGAGGAGGAGGAAGAGGAGGAGGAGGAGGAGGAGGAGGAGGAGGACGAGGAGGAGGAGGAGGAGGAGGGAGGAGGAGGAAGGAGGGAGGAGGAGGGAGGAGGAGGAGGAGGAGGGAGGAGGAGGAGGGAGGAGGGAGGAGGAGGGAGGAGGACCAGTGTAAACCCAAGAGTCACCAACGATGTAGGAGAAAACCCTCCCCCAAAGCTCCCTTTTTCGTAGGCACCTACAACGGCTCATTTCCGCAGAGGAACCTGCCTCGTTTGAAGACAAACAACCGTTTTCAGACCCTGAAACATGCCAAAACATTGTTCTCGGGATTTCAACGCCGCGGATCAAGGTGAGTGTTGCGTCTTGACGATCCTGAATCGTGCCAGAACGTAATTCCTGGGACTTCAACACCGCGAATCATCGTAACTGGTGCACCCTCATAATCGTGAATCCTTCAGAAACACCATGTCTGGTACGTCGAACATGGGGATCCGTGAAACTCTTGCAATGTTGTGCGACGAATGTGCGCGGCGCCAAAGCGAGAGCCACATTTTGAAGAGGAATCGCCCTCAATCCGTGAAGCTCATGCAAATGTTGAAAACGAATGTGCGCGGCGCTACTGCAATTGAGAAACACATTTTGAAAACGACTCGCCCTCAATCCGTGAAGCTCTTGCATTAAGAAAAAACGAATGTGCGCAACGCTAAGGTAAGGCGAGAACGACATGCTAAAAACCACCCGCCCTGAATCCGTGAAACTCTTGCAAATTCTGAAAACGAATGTACGCGGCGCTCAGGCGAGAGCACTATTTTGAAAACCACCCGCCCTCCATCTGTGAACAACTGTTTAAAACTTCTGGGTCATAAATGATGAGGATGTCTCAGGCGAAACGCCCGGCCCGCCCTAAAAACTGGCCTCGGGGTGCGACAGGGAGAAACTATTCATAAGGAAAAGGGATGGAGGAGAAGGAGGAGCAGGAGGAGACGAGAAGCGAGGACCCGTCTGGAAGGCGCCTTTTGCCGATACAGTGGGATCCTGGGGAACATCAACTCTGTAGTCGATTCCTCTGCTCGAAGAGGACGGAACTGCTTGACACGCAAACTGTCCGAGTTCCCCTCCCTCCTCCTCTCGGCAGGCGGGGAGCGGTCTACACAACAGGGCCTTTCTGCAGGCGGGGGCGCATGTCCCAGGGGGGGGGCTCGCCAAGCAGTCTCGATATCTAAATGAACATACAGTGGGAGCTCGACCACAAGAAACCTTCCACAAGAAACCCACCCCTGAGACACCAGGACGTCCATGATTCTTGGTGTGGGAACGTCACGCTTTCCATCGCAAAATCATGGGAACCCAAGAAACCAAGGCCACCCTGGAGGCAAGCAGGGTGTGTCTTGGCATGGCCTTCCACTGCAGCGAGACGAATGGCGTGGCGACAGGCCTTCTGCCCAGACCCCCGGCGGCCTGTGAACAACATCGCGACGAAAGGTTCGTCGCTATGTTCGGCCTCCGAGGGGGCCCTTCCTGGGACTCTCTCGTCTCCATCGGCGGCGAGGCGGGACAATCCGCATCAGCCAGGCAGCGAATCGGGACCGTCAACAAAACGACTCGGGACGAGACACCGGTCCCCGGGAAGGGGTCGCAGAAAAACCCTAGGATTGCAAAAAAACCCTGGATTGCAAAAAAACACCTTTTTGCAATCCTTCGTTTTTTGTGGGAATCCTTGGGTTTTTCTGCAATCCTTCGTGCAATCCTGTTTTTGTTTTGCAATCCTTTTTGCAATCCTTGAATTTTTGTTTCCAATCCTTGGTTTTTTTTGCACTCCCTGGGGGCCGACGCTGCGAGCAACAAAAAGCCACGTCGGGGGGCTCGGGAGTCCGTGGTCGCCGGCTGCCCCGGGGCCGACCCTCCAGGGGCCCTCGCGGATATTTTCTCGGGGGTCGACGATTCATAGTGTCTGTGTGTTTCTTTCCCTCCTGAGATACGGGCGGGGGCCACGACCTTCTGTCCGCAGCTGCTCGTGTGGCTTGCTGCGCGGCCAGCGGCCAGGAGCGGTTCGGGGGCAGCGCCAGAGCGCCCCTATAGGACATCCTCCTCCCCAGACCATTTGCGCTGTGAAAAAATCACGGCGAGAGGCGTTTCGCTAGTGTCGGCCTCCGGGAGCCCTTACCCGGGCCTCGGGACCGCCAAAGAACGACTCGGGATGAAAAGCCGGTCCCGGGGAAGGGCTCCAGACCTCTGGGGGGTGACTCTGTGAAAAAAATCACGGCGTCGGCGGGGCGGGGCTCGGCCGCCGCCGCCTGCTGTGCCACCTCCACAGGAGGTTCGCCGAAGATGAGGTCCACGCTGCCGCGCGCCTGCGGGAGCGCAGGGCTGTGCCCCAGGCGGTGCGCCACTGTCCACGGGGCCTCGCCGCAGAGGCGGCATCGGGGCACGGCTCCGGCGCCCCGAGCTACCCGGAGCGCCAGCCGCGCCCCGGCCTGCATCTGCTCGGTAGGCGGTGCGCACAACCTTTGGCCCCTCGCGCTGGACGCCCAGGCGCGCGCCTGCGGCGGCGCTGCCAGCCGCGGCTGCTCGCACGCGCAGGCAGCGGCCCACGCAGCTCTGGAAGCCCAGCACTACGCGTCGCCTGCAGGCCGTGCCACGGCTCTGTGGCCGCCAGGGAGGCGGAGCCCAAGGCGTTCCAGAAGCCCCACCAGCACCAGTGCCCAGGATCGGTGGACTGTCCCCGCGATATCCAGGACCGCCCACGCCTGTGCAGATCGGGGGTCAATCTGGACTCTGGCGCGTAGCATGCATGCGTGGACCACCGCCCTTGCCACCCAAAGGCGTTCTATGTCCTAACTCGGGCACCCTCCCCAGGGAGTCCGAGCAGCCACCTGCCCCACTCTTCATGAAACTGGTGGACCTCCCTGTCAAAATCGGGGCGGTGGATGCACAGCTCCATGCCCTGGAGGGCCTCTGCGCAGGTGCACGCCCGCCGGAGCCCCACCTGCGACTCGAAGGGGCAGCCGTGGCCCTGCCTGGCGCGGACGCGCTGTCTTCCAGGACTGCCTCGCCGCTGCCGGGCACGAGCGAGGCGCGCCCCACCAGTAAAACAGGGCTAGGATCGGGATAAATCGCTCCAGAGCGTTCCGGAGCGCTCTCAGAGCGTTCCGGAACGCTCTGGAGCGGCCGCGGCGCCCAATACATCCTCCAAACCCGCCGATTCTCAGAGATTTCGGGTTATCCCGATCCGATTTTGTCCCGATCTTCGCGTCGTTTGAACCAGGCCGCCTGGAGTCATGGGCCACGCTAAGGCATTGGAGACAACTTCGGACGTGGTCAAGCCGCAGTGTCTGGTGCTGCCCCGCTGGCCAGCGCGGCGGTCTTGGCCGGCCCATGGGGCAAGCAGGCGAGATGCCTCCGAGCCGCCGTCTTCAGCGCAGCAGCTGCCGGACCAACACGAGCCCCCAGGACGAGGCCAGGCATCCCAGGTCGTCAAAGAACGCCCTCAGGCCAACCCTCGCTGTCACCGTCGAGCCAGGGAGGGCGGGACGCACGGCGTCTGATGACGCTCCCGTCTTGATGGCCGGCTCGGGCTTCAAGGTACGGTCGGAGCACCTGCTTGCACGGATCAAGACCTATGCCTGCGCTTGTGCCGTCTGCCGCCGCCTGAAGCTTGGCCACGCTTCCAAGACACTATAGAAGCGGACTCCGCTTGCAGCCCTCTGACACCCCGATCCCTGGCCTGAATCTGCGGGGCCGTGGACCGCGGGTTCCCACCGTCACTGCGGTGCGGCCCAGCATCGCCTCCAACTGCAGCCACGCCTGAGCTCCGACCACCGTCACTGCGGTGCGGCCCATCATCGCCTCCACCTCCAACTGTAGCCACGCCTGAGCTCCGGTTCTTGCCCTCTCCAGGACCGCAACTAAGGCCTCGCGGCGGTCTTGAGATTCAAACGCCTCAGCTTCGTCTGCAAAGAACTCCGCGAACGGCCGCCCATGGGCTGCGCGGCCCGCGTGGTATTCGAAGTCCAAGAGGCCAGGTACCAAGCATTCGCCGCTCGAGTCAAGTTTGTCTGGGAGCGCTCCTCGCAGGTTCTCCAAGTGCCGCTGCCACCAGGGCTCTTCGATCACACGTCTTTCGGCTGAGCTGGACGGCAGCCATCATAATCCTGCGGGCTCCTGCTTCTTTCGCAGTGTGGTAGCTGTCTTGCTCCAGCCAAAGATCTGCTGCCGGCCCCAAACGCAGTGCCAGGGACATCATGCCGAGTGGATCGTGGGCCATCAGCGGGTGTCCACAGAAGTAGGACGCGTACGTGAGACCTCTGCTGCGCGACCGAACAGAGATCTGCTCCAGGCTGCCTCCATCTCTTCCAAGGCGTAGGGTTTCCGCCGCCGTCCAGTGCGCCGTCCAGTGCAGGTCGTTTGTTGTCTCTGTTCGGATGCTGCCACCCACCCTGTGGTGATGTATCAGTGGTGTTGTGGGTCTCATTCGCCTTCCCACGGAGGGTGACCCTTGCGAAGAGTCGAAATATCCTGCCGCGCCTTCAAGCAAGCTGGGCTAGCCGGAAGGCCTGGACCGGCGGTCGCCGTCAGCTGGCGGAGAGCCTTCCCGAGTCCTTGGAGGCTCGGGGCAACTAGCTGCACGATCTTCTCCTGTGGGCAGCGCCCAGCCTCTTAGCGGTCGCCCGCGCGCTGCCCGAAACGCACCACCAGCGGCACAGATGGCCGCAGCTGCAGCCTCGCACAACCTCGCGGATGTTTTCTTTTGCCATGGACAGAACACCTGGGCGACACAACCCGAAGGAAGGTGCCCACGGTGCCTGCATGAATCCACATGCGGTCGGCCCTCGCAACAGGAATGGAAGCACAGGCATGCCCCAAGCGCCTCACCTGCGCCGCCGTTGCGAGGTGCCACGAGATGCCACCCCGAGGCACGGCCACCGGCACCACCCCCACTTGTGAGAGGGATAGACGTACCATAAGGCCAGTCTGCTATACCCACTCCCTGGGGGACAAAGCCCGCTCTATGAGACGCGTGCGCCTTAAGGACAGCGCACAACGAGGTGAGAGGAGGAGAATCGCCACACCCGGGCAGCTGCCACCAAGGCCCTGCTCCCGCCGTCACCAGGCGCATACCCGCCACGGGTCACACAAGTGTCGGGAAGCATGCTCTGCGCACAGGATGCCAAAGAAGTCGCCGCTGCGCTCGCAGAGCGCCTTTTGCCTCGCAAATACGTTCCTCCTCCTCCTCCTCCTCCTCCTCCTCCTCCTCCTCCTCCTCCTCCTCCCTCCTCCTCCTCCTCCTCCTCCTCCTCCTCCTCCTCCTCCTCCTCCTCCTCCTCCTCCTCCTCCTCCTCCTCCTCCCTCCTCCTCTTCCTCCTCCCTCCCCTCCCCTCCTCCTCCTCCCTCCTCCTCCATCCTCCTTCTCCTGCTCCTCCGTTCTCTCCTCCTCCCTCCTCCTCCTCCCTCCTCCTCCCCCTCCTCCTCCTCCTCCTCCTTTTCCCCCTCCTCCTCCTCCTCCTCCTCCTCCTCCTCCTCCTCCTCCTCCTCCTCCTCCCCCTCCTCCGATTCATCCGTCTGTTCCTTCCCTTCCTCCTCATCCCCCTCCACATCTCCCTCATTGGCCTCTTCTACCACCGCCCTGGCCTCCCTCCACCAATGCTTCGTAACCCGTCTCATGGCCGTCCTTGCGACGCGGCGGCTTGTCCATCACGTCCAGGTCAGGGGGGTTGAATCCCAGAGCCGTGGCTGGTGGGCCGTCTGTCACCAGGTTCACCTGCCCCCCACACACACACACACACACACACACACACACACACACACACACACACACACACACACACACACACACACACACACACACACACACACGCCACCCTTTTGCGGCTCTTGTCCTTGCCTTCGTCTCCTCCTCTTCCTCCTCCTCCTCCTCCTCCTCCTCCTCCTCTCCCTCCTCCTTATCCTCCTTCTCCTCCTTCTCCTCCTCCTCCTCCTCCTCCTCCTCCTCTGCTTTCTCTCCTGTTCTCTGTTCTCTGGCCGCTCACTCCTCCTCTCTCCTCCTCTCTCTCTCTCTCTCTCCCTCTCCCTCTCCCTCTCCCTCTCTCTCTCTCTCTGCTACTCCTCGTTTCTCTCTCTCTCTCTCTCTTCCTCCTCCTCCTCCTGCTGCTCGGGTCCCTGCTCCTCGACCGCCTCCTCCTCGACTGCCCGAGGGCGGCCACTTTCAGGACGGAGCCCCTCGGCGGTGAGCAACCGGGGGGGAAGTAAGAAGGTGAAGGCCTCCCCAGGAAAAGGAGGAGGAGGAGGAAGAGGAGGAGGAGGACGAGGACGAGGAGGACGACGAGGAGGACGACGAGGAGGAGAAGGAGAAAGAGGAGGAGGAGGAGGAGGAGGAAGAGGAGGAGGCGCTCTGGCAGAGGAGCCGGGGCCGACGCCCCGCCCGGGCGGCGCCCGGGCGTGGCGCCGCCATGGCGGAGAGGATGCCCGCGACCGAGAGCCAGCGCCGCACCATGAGCGGGGACTGCAGCAATCGGGTCGGGCGAAAGGGGGGGATAGCAAAGGGGGGGTTTGAGAATCAGCTCACGTAGCTGATTTTCCCGGCGCCTCCCGGCGCCGGAGGCGGCTATGTATCGAGGAATGGGCCCCTCGGTGAGGCCGAAACCAGCTGCATGCAGCAAATTTCGTAACCCCCCCTTTCCCAATCCCCCCCTTTCGCCTGGCCCGAAACAACACAGGCAGCGAGATGTCTACGGGGGCCCCTACGGGCCGAGGCCTCCACAGCTCGAGGCTCGTTCTCACATAAGGGCATACCGCAGGCTGGCACACGCAGCCCGTCGAGGGCGCATCGCCGTGGGCGACCTCGTAGCCATCTCTCCCCAGAGGAACGCCAGACCTGCCGGGGATATTCGCCACCGTTGGCCTTCACCCTCGGGCGGCAGTGCGTGGCAGCCCAATGCCCCGCCCGGCTGTTGGTCGCAGACCTACGACGAGAAGTACGGGTCAGACGGTACTGGCAGCAAGGGCGCGCTCAGACCAGAAGCGCCTGTTTTCGTCCCCGCTCATCTCGGCAACTCAGATCTCATCCGTGCTCCGGCTTCAGGGGGCCTTGTGCTACCGCCGTACATCCCATCTGCCGATATGCTCTACCAGGCTAGCTCGCACTTCGGCCACGCCCAGAACACCTTCGAGATGAACCGCTCAGGCCAAAAAAAACATAAAATATGGGAACCCCTCCTCGGGACCCCCTCGGCGGCCCCCCCCACCTAGCCCGTCGGGCTATGCCGCCGAGTACCCCGCACCTCTCGCCACAGCTGGACCTGCCTCGAACATCTGTCCCCGATAAAGCGCGGACGGTGGGTCAGACCACCATGCTTGATCCAGAAGGGCCTCCAACAGAATTGCGGAGGGACCAAGGACGTCCCAAACGCACAGTCCGCTTTGACCTACCAGATGACCCGCCGTGAGTGGCCCTCTCCCAAGCTCCCCCTCCCTTCCTGCCGGCCCACTGTCCTTTCCTGCTCCTGTTTTCCCTCCTCGTACTTCTCCTTCACTCTCTGTTGGTTCTGGGAGGGAGGGGTTCAGTGAGATGGGGATGGGGAAGGCGGATTCGACCAACGCCCTGCGCTTAAAGCATCGACACATGTTTCAACCATCTTGGGCAGTTCATTCCGCTCGCAGTCGCGACGAACGTCGTCCAGCGCGCGATCGCATGGTTCACCTTCCATCGTTCATTGCATGGTGGGACGGAGGGCTGGGAGCAGTGAGTGGGATGGGGGCCAGGGATGGGAGGAACGTGCGCGTCTGTCGCTCGAGCAGGCTGGGCCGCCGTGGCTTTCGCCGCGCGCAGAGGCACCTGTTAATCGAGACAGTCCCATAACCGCCACAACATCCGTCCTCGGTACACGCTTCTGCCACCGCCTCTCCACGCCACAGTTCTTGTTTCAACCAGCATTATTGCAATAGTCGGCGTGCGGGGGTAGCGGGGGGGGGGAACGTGCACGTATATCGCTCGAAGAGGCCTGGGCACCCGCGGCTGTAACCGAGCGCAGAGGCATTTGTCGGGTGAATCAGCGCCTCCGCCACCATATCATGCCGTCCTCGCTATACGCTTGCCGCCCACATTTCCTCTCCCCGCCCGCTCGTTCGCTGCCGCTTCTCTGCTCCCGAGGGCTCGCGTGCTAAACCCGAGAAGAACACGTCAAAAAGCACGCGTGGACACCTTCGCTTTCCTGCACTGTCTGGGGGCAGCGGGAGGTTACTGGGGTGAACCGCCAAACCCCAGGAGAGCATGCGGTAACCGCAGGCGCATCGAGATTATTTCTTGGGAGTCACCATGCACACTGCCACCGCTTTTGATCCACCCAGATGGTGCGAGCATCTGGCTTTACATTGCGGCATTCGCGCCGTGGCATGGCCACTCTTTTCATAGCGATCTTGATTGGGCCGCGCGTTTGTCTCACTATCTACTTCCCCCCCTTGCTCTTTCAGCGCAGCCCAACCAAGTTCGATGCCTAGACGCCAACCTGCCACAAGGGACGACTCGGCCAGTCAAAGGGCACCTCTTTGCACTAGCACGCCCGCTGGACCTCCCCGCCCCCCACCCATTGGGCCCAGCACGAGGTCGCGCGCCGACTCGTAACGGCATCTGCTGTGCTCCCTCTCAGCCCTTGTGTCCGCGGCTTGTACCAGGTCCCTGTCTAGCACCGCCCTCTTCAGGGGACGCAAACAGGAACATGGCTTCACCCACCACGAGCCTCAAATCTAGGCATCCCATCGTTTCACTGGGCGCGAACCCCGGCACCGTCAGGAAGAGGAGGAGGGGGGGACGGAGGGGGTTGGGGGATGGACGCTTGTGCGTGGGCGAATTAGCTTGGCGGTGCCACGACGCCCCTGGCCGAGCGCCCCGCTCTTTTTCCCATAGCACGTGCTCAACGATCGAGGTGGGTTGGGGGATATGAGAGGAGGTCGGACGACGCGGGAGCGGACTTGCTGGAGGTGATTGCGGCATGCTGCGCCGCTTCACCTGTTGTTTTTTTCTTTCGTTTTAACCCCCCTCCCACCCAGCAGTTGGTGGTTGGCCTCCCACCCAGCAGTTGGTGGCTGGGGCAGGATTGGTGGGCTTCTGTCATCGACATCATCCGCCCTGAGTGAGTGAGTGAGGCGGAGGAGGAGGAGGAGGAGGAGGAGGAGGAGGAGGAGGAAGAGGAGGAGGACGACGACGACGACGAGGAGGACGAGGATGAGGACGTCCGCCAGCCTTCTGGGAAGTGT